ACCTTGGTCTGAGACAAAACCCAGCTGGCTATTGCATTAGACATGGCTATTAAAAGAATAATGCTGCTGATCCTCCTTACAAAGTGCCCTGAGAAATGGTTTAGCCAAATCACAGTGCCTCCTGTCACACTGAATCATGTTCAGCTGCTCTCTTCCATGACCAAATTGCTGATATTTATCCACTTCCATGTCTTTTCCGTTCTTGCCACAATATGGGAGGGGGAGAAGTATGAAAGCAAGGAGAAGTCAGTCATGTTCCTGATTGTCCTGTTATTTTCTGGCTGAATTTCAGTCTTTTGAAGTGTATATACAGTGCTCCATACAGTGTTTATAGAAGAGATGCCTTTCATCAAGTAACTTTAATTGTAAACTATTTTAATGATACTTCAAAATAAAGTAAATTATAGAGGGATTTCAGTGATTCCAGTAACACAGAATTGTTCATTTTAGGATTGCGCTGATTTCTGTTCTATGCAGCAACTGAAATTAATAAATAGACCCAGATTCCCAGTACTATTGAGGAGAAGAGGGACCTCTGCTTCTTCCTTGTTTTAATCTAGGTAGGGATTTGGCATTTCCTAAGTGGCTTTGAGAAAACTTCTCCTCATAGTCCGTGTACCTGACACTGCCATCCGGGCTGAGAGCTGTGTCCTTAAAACAGAGTAATTTGGGGTGCCCAGGCTCCAGATCAGATGCTGAGCACGTGCTTCCACCATGACATTTGTGTGACCTCTTCCTCAATCCCATCCCAGCCAGGCTGGTCAGCCCAGGATGAAGCCGCTCAGTGGCACAGCTCAGCGAGGTTGGAGCTTTCTCATAATTCTCCTGATGCCCCCAGAATAACAGATGGTTTTGTCACGGGATAGGGTGTCAGGGTGTGCCACACCAGAAGCTCTGCTGAGTGGAGGGGGTCTGCTCAAAGCCTGACGGACACAGCAGAGCGAGGACGTCTCCAGTGCAGACACAGGAGCCTCTTTCTGGGCCTGTAAAGCTCTTGCTGATGCCCAGCATGAGCCAAATTGCAGCTGTTAGACCAAAATAAGAATTATATGTCCTTATTTTGAAGCAAAGAAATTGCTATAGTAATTTAGCATTAATTTGCACTCTTAGAAGTGACAGTCAAGTTTACTTCTTTAAAGAAGTGTGAACTGTGGATTTGACTTATCAAAACATTTCAGCATGTGACTAACTTGGACTGTAAACTGTACTTGAAGTTACACTCGCTCGAGTGCTTCCTTCTCTTACTGCCCTGTCATAGCTAAAAAGCTCTTCAGCTCTTTCCTTCAACTCATCTTCCTCTTCTCAAAATACAATAAAATGTGAAAAGAAACAGAGACAAACCCCAGTTAGTCTAGAAGACGTTCAGGGTAGAGCTATCACTTAAAAAAGTAGAAATGGTTTAAAACTGGGAAAATAATTAAGATAATGTGTTCCAGGTGTGAAGAATCTTACCTGTTATCGAGAACTCCTTGTGCAAATTACAAGTTCTCTGTCTGTGCAACTGGTAGAAGAGAAATCATCTGTGGTGGTTATAGCTGTATGCTCTAAAGTTTACCAGAGACATCAGTAAGCCCAGACAGGAACATGCTTTGTTCCTGGTGTTGCTGATTTGCCAGATTGAATTTGTTAATTGATTTCCAAAATGCACAGAAGTGAAAGATCTTTCTTTGGTATGTTCTAAGTGCAAACAAACTCTTTTCCCATAAGCGATTCTTTCTGGTACAAGGGCAAAGACTGAGAAGAGTGCACATGTTCTTCCAGCCTTTTCAAGATGCAGACTTCTTCTGGGCTGTCATCTGTTGGAAAAGTTTTCGGTTTCATTTGCATTCAGCTTTGGATCCACCCTGAATGCTTGTCCCTCCTGATGTCCCTGCACAGGTCACAACCAGCAGCACGGCCAGTGAAGGCATCAATGATCTGTTGTGTTTACTGGCACATAGAGCTGTGGGAGGGAAATATTTGTGGCTTCTGTACAGTCATGAAATCTTTACCTGAGTCACCTGTTGTGTCATAAGCTATTTAATGTTGTGCAGGAATATGGCCTTCAGTCGTCCCTTTGCGATGCTCTGGTAAAGGTTGTTAAAGGAAATGGCACTGGGTACCTCCCACTAAAACCATATTTATGCTGGTGACATGGATTGGCCGCTTTCTTTTTATATGATTTCACATTTATTACTCCACTGAGTGATTTAGGGCAACATTTTTGAAGGACTATTTGATTCATGGTTAAAGGAAGGGTATTTTTATAGAAACAAATAGCAAAGGAGAGTAACATAGGTGTAGAAGCCTTCCTTGCTCATCTGCAAGCACTCGTTCTTGTTAAAAAATACTTTCTTCTGAGTTCTCTGTGCCTGTACACATGCTGAACTATGCATGTTGTGGCTTAGAACATGGAAACACAAGGAACGGAGCACTTTTATTTAGCTCTCACCCCAGTCGTGACACCTGCCCTGTGTGTCCCTGGCCAGACTGACCCCGTGTCTGTGCCAGTCCCCTAAGTGCCAGGATATTGCCATCTTCCTTATTCCCATCTCTAGGAAGAGTCAGACTCCAAGTTCTTGCGCCATTGATTCAGGGCAGCTGTAGGCACCAGGGAGTGTTTTGTCACAGAGCTATCACAGTCCCAAACTGCAGAAAGAGGTCTGAGATCTGGGAACTCTTGAACTAATAGTAAGTTCTAAGACAAGGACAGTGGGTTACATACCTGTGTTGAGTTGAGTCATTTAAAGGGTATTTCATTGTTAGGTACAACAGATCACTTAATAAGTACATAAATGTGTGTATCCCTGGCTGTGTCACTGTTGGGAATTTTTCTGTACTCCTGAATTCCACCACGAGTTGAAAAGAGACAAGTCAGAAACCACTTGGAGCATTATTGTGGAGAAGTAAGATTTGGAGTCTTACTTCAGTCTAGCATGAGACACTCTTTCTAAAATATCCAACAAGACAAGCTACAAGGGGAGAAACTGGATAAAAAAGCTGTAAAAGTTGTTATGCTGGCATTGATTTGTACACAAGTCATGTTTAAATCAGATAATGTGCAGGACTATGAAATGACTGAGTTTTAATTAATTGGTCAGAAGCAGACTAATCAGCTGGTTTGTTCAGTTTGGAGACATTTTCACAGGCTATTTTTGGAATAGTCTGTTTATTTGGAAAATATGTCTTTGCATAATACAATCACAGGCATGGCTCTCATAATCCCAGTTTGTTTTAAGAGGCCTTCAATGGACCTTGATGTCATTCCTGCAATATCTGTCATTCCTCTGTCAGCAGTAAATGGCAATGAGCAGAGTCAGAGCTGAAATATGAATCAGGACAGTTGGTAAAGCAAAATCGGTTGTTCCGATAGTTTAAGTGTGGATCCAGTTTTGCGATGATAGTGTTAGCAAACTGTGACACTGTAAATGGTTTAAGTTTTAAGTTCTTATTTTCCTTCAGTGTGCCGTGGGGGCACTAATCAAACTAATGTTTTGTGCGGGTCAGGAGTGACAGGTTTGTCTCAGAGCTCCCTGGGAGCTGACAGTGGGCAGTATTTATTAACAGTGCCTGCAATAATCTGTCAGCTGAATGGAGGACTGGAGATTTTCATACCAGAAAAGTCTTTGCAAGAGATTTTCTTCGAATGATCGCTGTCTTAGGCCCAACGCACATTATGTTTTCCATAGAATAATATTCCTTACGTTAACAGATTACTGCTGACAAAAGCTGAGATGTTTTCAGAGGAGCAGCAGTATCTCACTGCAGATCCAATGCTGTGTCTTTAAAGCTTTGAGAAGTCTAAAGGGATGTAATGCATCTGGACTTGTAAAGGCATCTGAAACAAGTGCCTCCTCTCTGGGCAGTGTGTTCCCGGGAGCCTCCTGCCCAGCACTGCTGGGTAACCCTGTGCCTGTCCGTGTGGGCCCTGGCCTGGGCTCACCTGGGCTTTCTGGCACTGTAACACTTACACATTCACATATCCCAGAATGTTCCCAGCCTATCGCCTGCATTTGTTCCTTAGTTCCCACACCTTGCACACCCAGGGTACCAGGGTGGGGGTTTTGTACATTTTGTCTGTGCAAATTCCTTGTGGCTGTGGCAGTTGAATTTTGGGTGTCTCGTATCTTCCTCAGCCACTGATAGGAGATGAATTGTATTGATTCCTGGTTTGAAAATAAGCGTGATTCAGTGGATTCCAAATGCCAGGAGCCCCAGAAGCTGTAAAATCGCACATTGCTGTGACTGCCAGGCAACTGTTGTTAACAATAGAACAGCTAATAATATAATGACAGATTTTAATAACACAAGGTTTGAAAGATGGACAGTAATGCCATGTCTCTCTGGGCAGGACTGAGCAAAGGCTTGAGGAAAAAGCCAATGTTCACTGCACAGCTGGAGCGATCACCTGTTAGGTGTTAGCTACAGCCTCAGTAAAAATCTGCTGTGCACAGCTCAGAGAGCTGTCTTTGGGGAACTGCAGCTGAACTGGGAACCAGGGATGCTCTATGGGATGATGGATGTTCAGCCCTACCACATCACTCCTCATATGGCTCTTAGAGTACTCACAGACACTGGTAAACATTACTTAGACATTACTAAACTCAAACATACTCTGAACCCACCGCTAATTTGGGGTTCCTGATTCTTACATAAGCCCAAAACCATATCTTTAAACTTCCCAAGGTGTGGAGGACTTCCACGATGCCCTCAGGATTTCCATGACATCCAAATGCTGCTTCTGTGTGATTTGTATGAACTGCTACAAACGTGCTTTCCCCCAGTCTGCTCCGTCAGCCAGGAAGGGAAATTGTTGTGCAGGGACTGGTGATAGAATTGCCCAAACAAAGAAAACCAACTGAAAAACAGGGTTAATGTATTGGTCCAGTATAAACTAGTAGTTTTGATGGTTCCAATAATTATTTCTGAGACTGTACTTAAAGACAACATATGTGTGTTGGTGCATCCTTGCATGTATGTAAGGAATGACAGGTTTGTTCTGTTTTCTTTTTTTTTTCCAGAATTATAGATCAGCGGTTTGAGAAAGTTTCGTATTTTGTCTTTGGAGATTTCAACTTTAGACTGGATGCCAAAGCAGTAGTTGAGGTAGGATTCTTTTTTCCTCTGTTGTGGACACTACCAGGTTTGATCTCTCAAATATTTTTTTCCTGTGGAAAGATAAATGTGACTTTAAAAAGTAATGTTAATATTGATATCAGACTTTGGCGAGACTACATCTAACAGAAACATCTGACAAGTAACTAACTGTGACTTTTGCCATCTCTATAGAGCTCACAGTGTTCTGCAGGCAGAGGAAGTGCTGGGTTACATTTCTACTCTGGGGAAAAAACGAGAGGCATTTCCTAAATGTCCATGATAGAACTCCACACTTTAAAGTACAGGCAGCCATCAGTGCAGACCTTTGTGCCAGTAGCATCTCAGCATGGAAGGTGACTGGGACATTTGTATTAAAAAAGAATGTCCTAAACCTTTTTCATTATGAGTTGACATCACCTTGACTTGACTGCTGAAGCTCAGCTCCAGGTAACATGGGGTCAGATATAATACTCAGGTTGAAAACCAGTTTAATCTCCTGGCTTTCACACTTGAATTCTCACAGGTACTGAGGTGTCTTTTTGGTGTCCTTGCAGGCAGTAACGTATCTTTTAAGCCAAAAGTTGTAATTTTGTAAATCAAACAGTGGGAAGTAAGTGTCCTTTGTGTCAAAGGCTGGCTCCTCCCATCTTAGGGTGGTGCCTTTCTCCTTCCTTACAGGATGATTATTCCTTCATCTGTTGAAAAACAGGAGTTTGACTTTACAGCACTGCATATGGAACGAATAAGTTCCTTCTTGGGCTCCTTGATACAGTGCAGGCATTTAACCAACAAGCTTAAAGCATAATTGAAACAAAAGCCAAGTCAGTAATTCAGAATATACAGCTTCATACTGTGTATTTTAAGGGCTAAATCCTGCTCTGCTATGCTACAGCTGCCATGGTTATCATTCACGTTCAGAGATCACTTGGTTTTAAACTATTATGCTTGGTTTTTTCCTCAGTAGTGGTGTGATGGTATTCCTGAGGATGTTCCTGTCTGAGAACACCTGTCAGTCACTCTGTAGCAGAGTTATCTCCTGCACCCAGTACTGATGAAGGGTGCTTCAAGTTTTTCCTGACTCACTCACTGCCAGCACTCCGCAGGACTGAAACTGGAGTGGGTGTTTACTTTGATACCATTAGATTAAGATATCTCCATTTTTATCTGTGAGTTTCAAAATGAACTACATCAAACAAAATACTGACCTCAGAGGATGCAAACTGAGCGAGCTGCACAGCTGAGCACAGGGGGTTCTTAGCCTGGCACAGAACTCTCCATCTTGGGAATGTTTTGCGCCTGCTGGGTAATGTTGCTGCATTTGAGTACACAAGGTGTAACTGGGAGATGAATCAAATTAATTTCCTTATTCTTCCTAGCTGAGGTATGTGCCTATGTGAGTGCACAAAGCAGTAGAGTAATACAGATTTTCTTTTGCTCTTTTGGAGAAGCAGCATAGTCCATTAACCAGAACTTCACACAGCTACTCTGCAACATTATTTAAGCATAATTAAAGATGATCTAGAAACTTCCATGTTTCATGCACAGGTAAAGTCACATTAAGTTTGTTTTGTAGTGTTCTGCACTCGGTGCAGTTTATAAATTCGTATGTCACAGATCCAAAAGCTTCAAGAAATGGCTGTCTCGTGCAGTTTGCTCCACAGAAGTGACTGTACAGCACCGTGCCTTGGACAGCTCTGGGCACTGGGACAGTCCTGAGGGAGTCAGCAGTCACTGCACTGTTCAGCTCCTAGGAGATAGATTAGTTCCTAAAGTATAGTTTGGAGGGGCAGAGCTACAGGCCATCTCTAGTGGGAATTGTACTAGATAGGGCCTGATGGTCTGGTTGTGTGTAAGATCTGTACGATCCAGTCCCAAATCCCTTCACAGCATGGTTTGTCGATGGTGTGACTTGGCTGTGCCTTCTCCCCAGATCCAGTCAGGGCCTGGCACAGCTGCAGTGGCAGAGCAGGAACAAGAATGGCCAGAGGTGCTCATGTCCCCAGCACGCCGTGCCAGCCCAAGCGTGAGCCTGTGCTCAGCTGGGAACCTCCCGCTCCAGAGGACATCCCAGTCCCTTCTGACATTTGAACATGTGCCTGTGCAAATGGATATTAACCACTCTCTGGACTATTCAGCAGTGTACTTAATACTGGGAATTTTAAGGGTTAATCCATTGACCTGTCATCTTTGTATATATTACTAAATTTATCTCTGCTTTCCTTGGTGATCTTTTGAATTCCCTCTTGAGACCACAGTGTGCTGAACACTTGGATACTGAGATACTATGAGCAATTCGTGTGGAAATACATTGTGGAAATGCAGAGTGTCGTAGAGCAAACACTAAGAATAAAGTGTATTTCTAAGGGATTTCCCAGTTACGCCATATAAAGGCAGAATCTGAGAGCTGTTCAAAATGTGGAGTCCAGACCCCGAAGTGCAGTGTCCTAAATCACATGCCAAAAATGTCACGCTTATTAATTAATAATTAATAGACAATAAATCATTAATATATAATTTATTGAACATTTATGGGAATCTTAATCTTAAGTCACATTGATTTTCTTGCTAGGAAAATCTGGTTTCCTGTTGCTGGAGTAATGGGGGGGTTTGTTACCGGCACATGGGCAGTGCCAGGTGCCGTTGCTGAGGTGGCTCCGGTGAATCTTTGTGTGTGTTTGCTGTCTCAGTTCCTGATCCGTTCCAGCGGCACTGTCAGGGCCAGATCCCGGCACATCCTGCTGGGACTGTGCAGCCGAGCTGGGGGGCCGGTCCCTCTCCGTAAAGGAGCAGAACACCAGTGCTCTGCCTTCCATTGGAGTCCAGCCTCATGGAAGGAACCTCCCTGTTCTGGCCTGCAAAGCCCAGGCACCTGGTGCTGCTGCCAGCCAGCCATGCCTTCAGGGGGTGCCCGAGGACATCCTCTGCTCCTCGCCTTTCATACCATGAGGGTTTCCAAAAGTAGCCCTTGGAGGTAGGAAGTGTATCTATCTAGTAAGGCAGTAAATGCAAAAGAAAGATCTACATTTCCCTGGGTTTTGATCTCCAAGACCTGACTGTTCTGTCTGATGGCCAGATAACTTCAATTAAACCTGCATAGGCAGAGGTGGCCAATGATTTTTCTTTGCCTACTGAATTTTTTTTTAAATGCTAGACTTTTTTGGGTGGTGCGCATTGTGATTATTTTCCCACTGCTTAAAGGTGCCTTCCAACGCCTCTATTGTCAGCATATGTGGTAGTGTTTACAACATAAAAAATTATATGGACTTTTATATTAGTTTGCCTATGAATTCTAGTCTATAACAGCTTCTCTGCAGTGTCTCTAGCACAAGTACTGTCACAGCATTTCAGAGAAACATGAATTGATGTTTCTTTATTTAGAAGATGGTTCTCTTAACTTCTCCAGAAGTTCTGTTCTCGTCAGCTTTAAAGCTAACACAGACAGGTCAGTGTAATCTTTGCACTTTTCACAAGTACATTGCAAATTTACAGTAGCGTGCATGACCAAGTACCTTTTCTACTTCAGGAAAATTGTCTTGTAAAGTTGAGTTAAAAGGAGATTTGGTGAGGTGACTTTAAAGAAATTTGCAGCAGCAGTGAGATATAGTGTATGCTGAGGTTGAAGAATAGTCCAGAAATTTAAAAATTATTGTGAGTTAATGCTTTGGTTCTTAAAAAGGTAATAGGGTACAGGCTTGTACGATCTGAAATTAAATTACTTCTGCTACTTGGCTATCACCTGAATAAAACCAGGATAATAAAATCCCTGAGCATGTTGAGGGTAAGAAGGGAACAGGAGGTTGTGGAGGGATGATTGAGGAGGTTTATTACAAAGAACTAGGGAGGATGGGTTCCTTTAGGTTTTGGTGAGAAATTAGAGAAACAAAGTGACTGTGAGTGACCACGTGGAGGAAGCAAGTTAATTCTCTGCTGTCAGTCCCAGGGAGCAGGTTGCTCTCTCCTGTGGTGGCTGCTGCAGAGCTCACGGGCTTTCATGCTGTGACCGGCTCCAAGGCCATTCTGATCTCTACTTTTTCTTCTCTATTTTTTAACTGAAACAACTTACTAGCATCTAATATTTTATGTAAACTCCACAAACACTTGCTGGTGTAAGTGTGGAAGCAGAATTGGTCCCATTAATCTCTCCTTGACTCCTCGTTCACATGGATCCATGAAGTGCCAGTGAGAGGGTTGTGATCCCCATCAGTGCATGTACTGATGTACATGTGGGGCTGCCAGTGCACTGTGTCCACACGGGCTGGCACTTTGGGCCTGTCACATGCAGAGCTGCCCTTTCCCCTTCTTTGTTAAAAAGGTGTTAGAAAAGAGAGATTTCCCCTTCTTATTGGCCCAGAAGCTCCTGTGCTGGAGCCTGGCGGGACCTGCAGCGTGTCTGTCCAGAGCCGCCTTCTCTCCTGTTCCCTGCCCAGCCTGGAGCATCCCATCACAGTCTCAGCTGTGCTCATCGAGAGAAGCATTTCTCCTTACCAGTCCTGCTCTATTTAAGTCACCATTCAAGTGTTTTAGGTGGGTCTAGAACAAGGAAGAGTATTTTTTTGGTCAGCTGGTCATAATAACGGGCTGTATTAATCTTTGAGAATTATTGTATTTTCATATTTAAAAAAACGACACAGAAACTGTTTACCTATAAGTCTGTCCTAATCCAGTATGTCCATTTTAGTAAAGTACAAACAGGCTTAAGAAACCAAGGTTATTTTGGCTGTTTGGGAAGTGAAACTCTGTTTCTGTTTGAGACTGCTGATTCAAAAGTCTGTTAAAGTTCCTGCTACTCCCAGGGAAAAAAGAAATGTAATGGTGTGCTCCTCAGTCCCAAGAACTGCAGCTCAGTAACACAAAGCTCAGTTTGCAAACCATCAGGCTTTAGGGGAAAGCCACATTAATTGCAAAATCCATTTGCTCTAGGTAAACCACATCCTTGCCTCGTATCCAGGAAAAAACGGGTTTCATTTTTCCCTCCCTAAAGGACATTTTGTTTTAGGGTTGCTGGTAGG